TAAAGAAGTGCTTCCTTAAATCCAGTTTGAAATGTTCTCCCGCTAATTTCCACCTATGGCCACGAGTTCTTGTATTTGAACTAATGCTGAAGTAAGTTATATTATACACACGTACGTAGACACACACTTACTGGACAGTGATTCGAGATATCCCTATTATACACACGTACTTAATGTAACTTTCAAATATTTCAAAAGACGCCTTTAACTAAGGTGCGCACTAAAGCTCACAATTACTCGAAAGACAAATATCAACCTGGTGGAATATAAAATGGGTTGTGTACGCAAGCTTTACCTCATAGGTCATGACTATTGAAAAAAGAGGCAATACGGATCCTTACAAACGCAGCAAACCCTATAAACAAGCAAAGCCACTTTTACTTATACATAAACCAACTTTCAATTCCAACTCCTGTTGCTTTTGATGAAAATTTCCAATAGGAGTCTAACTTTGAATTTAAACTTCTTTTCCATTCCCATTTGATTTTTTTTTGGGGGGGGAGGGGGGTATATCTATCTGTCAGTTAACCTGTCATACAAAGTAACGGTACAATAATCAGTGGTTTATATTTAATATATTCTGACGTCTATGGTCTTCCTGTAATGTATAATGTTACAATATTATCACAGTGTTACCTATAACACATTTCAGAGTTAGCTGGTTTGCTAACAGACTTCGTAGATAACTTTCAATGGCAAAACTCACACAAACCATTTAAATCGCTTAGGTATTCCCCAGACACAAAAATGTAACCATATGGGTGTGCGGTATCGTGGAAAACTTGGACAGTGATATAAAAGTTTTATTCTTTTAGTACTGAACGTATTGCATTGAACCAAGTTGCTAACGAGACAATAAACCTAAAACACGGGGTAGCTAAATAGTACCAGCAGTCAGATCATTCCGTTACTCGATTCCATAGTAATATTTTTCCACTGCGAATTATACCATTAGGTTAAATTCAAATAACATACATGCCACTTTCAAAACAAAATTACCATACCTACACGCGGCTAGGGTTCAGACTTGAAATGGTCAAATTGTCATTGGTGCCCGGGTTCACTTCCGGGTTAAAGGGCTCTTCGTGCTTATTGGTCAAAGCGTGAGCACGCGGGGGCTTTTAAAAATTCAAACACTGCGGTCCAATAGGGCAGCTGGTTCGACTCGGTTGTTTGTTTGGGTAGCAGGTTCAAGTGTAGTCGTGTCTATTTTTTTTTAAATGTTTCTGAAATTCCTATTTTCCTTTAGGTTATTTTGAATTAAGTCAGGGCTATCTATTGTGTTTTTAAACTGAAATTGTCGTTTGGCGATGACTCACGCTCATTTATAAATCTATTGAGTGTAAAACGTAAGGAGTGAGCATGGCTAGCCTGGAGAACAGCCTGAAAACAGTGGTTAAGGTCTTTAGGAGGGAATGTCACAGGGTCCTGGAGTCCGAGATGACCACGATCAGAGGGGCGGACAGCATGCTCATTGCTTTGCAGCTCGTCATGGCTGAGGCTAACAAGACGGTAGCTTCTGTCAACGCTTATTTCTAACACAAAATACCGGCAATAGGCTGTGCTTTTCCTGTGAATGTATTCCGGGTTCATGTGAACAGAATGGCTTGAAAGCGGTAACAAATCAGTGCATTATTTTTCATTATAGTAACACGCGTCAGCTTTGCTTTAATGTTTGCTTGAATGTGTGAGTGGGATCTGCCCCTTCCACTTAAGTGTGTAGTGCAAAATAACCTCCTCTCAATTTTATTCGCGTAGTTCTTGTACAGTTAAACAAGTGCAGATTCGTAAGGTAGGGGGATGCCTTTTTGAACTGTCATATTTAAACGCTAGAGGGTGTGACGATCCGATCCTGCGACAAATATAAGGAAACCATTTATCTGTGTAGAAAACGTTTTATAGAGGGATTTTCTTTGGATGCGAGCTAATATCGGCGAGATATTAAGAGGATGACATTAAATGAGATGTCAGGCATCACCTTCAAAAACAGGGCGGGCGAAACTCGATAGCCAGAGAAGCTCCCATGTTTGCAGGTTTAATTCATTTTCACCTGATATATGTGAATCCCGCCGCTTCAGAAACGACTTGAATTAAGCGGTAGAATAAGCTGAAATATTCCGCAGTTCTCAAGGACGGGAGGTTACCACTATTATTCATATTTAATATTTAATAGGATTTCTCTTCTTTAGTGCCATTTTGGAGTCAATACTGATGCACTTGCCCTTTGGCAGGAGACCGGAGAGTTTACTGTGGCTCTGAGTGATGTCATCGTCACCTGGCAACGCTTGCTGAGGGAGAAACTCCACCTGCCCCTCTCCGACTCCGCTCACCCGGAAAACTATGACATCATCCGTAGAGAATACGACTCCTTCCTAAAGCGCACCAACACGCTGGACCTGATTGATGTGTCCAGGATGTACCAGCAGCTGAGGGCAGAGTCTGACCCAGACGAACCGCTGAGTTCCGTGAGTAATTCTGCGGGCCCGCATCGAGTCTCGGATCTCTTGTTATGGGATGTCACCTCACCTCACCCCTGCCTCATCCAGGTGGAGCTGCTGCAGTTCCTGTCAGGCGGCGTGGAGAGCAGCACAGACTGTCTCCAAACCCCATCCAGCCATGACTGCCCTCAGACTCCATCCAGGAACACCAGCCAATATAGTTTACAGGTCATTAATCCACTTTTATGTTACTAACTGAATGTTACAGGTGTTCCTCTTACTACCCAATTCTGGCATTGCTATAAATGCTATTATCACAGGTACAGCACATAATGTTACTTTTTTATATTTTTATGGTTGACCTTTTTCACAGCATCCAAACCTTCTGGTTGTAACAGCAGGTCCACACTCTCCCCTGTTATTCGTTTCTCCTTCTGTGGTTCAAGAACATTATAATAGTTCCTGGTTAATGTGCATTTTTTATGTCTGTGTTGCCCTTCAGAGAAGAAGTGTTTCAATGTCATAACTAATAACTGCTAACTCACTCACTCTCCCAAGGCATTTTTTTCTTCCGGTTTGTATGTCAATTAAGGACACTCAACTTAATGTAGTAATTATATTAGCGATGGCCATTTTAAATGCTCCCCAGAAATGCTAAGTCCCGCCCCTAAATCTTTATGCATCTCCTTTACTCAGTTTTCACTTTTACAGAAATGTCTTGCCTCTGTTAGCTGGAGCATTAAATCACGGCGCTAGGATTTAAGAGTGAAATGTGATTTCGGTTACTGGGCGAATGCTTTAAAGTGCAATGTGTCTGAAACGGGAGGGGCCCCAGGCAGGAGTGTGATTTATTTTTTTGGGGGGGTGGTTGGGGAGTGAGTGCAGGTGTTGGGCAAATGTGTGTGTGTGTGTGTGTGTGTGTGTGTTTCACCCGCTGTACACGATACTGCTGGAAGAGAAGCTTCATTAAAAACGTGTAACACACCTGCTGATTAAAAGAACTTCATGATCCACTTGGTTTTCTTCCCCTTTGCCCCCCTGGGTGACAGCAAGATAGATAAATAACACCAATAATAGGACAGAGCTGGCATGTTCGCTTGGTTTGCTTAGTACTGCGAAAACAGGAAGCTGATGTTGGCGTTATCTGTGTGTGTGGTCCTGATGGGGCTCTGGTGCAATTTCTCTCCCGCAGGTACAGGGGGCGCTGCGGAGGCTGTTCTGCTCCTACCTTGAGCTGCTGGTGAACACCAGGAACGACCTGGCCTTGGCGCAGGTGCTCGACGCCCCCTGCAGGGGGCTCAGCTGTGTGGCGTTCACCAACCTGAAGCGGCAGGCCCGCGCCAGCGGCACCTCCCTGTTTCTGGTGGGGGAATCGGCGAGCATCGCCATCGCAGTACTTCACAGCCAGTGCTTTTTAATCTGTCCGCCTCAGTGAGCCTGTTACGATGGTGGGGGTGGGCAGGGGGTGGGGTGGTGTGTAGAATGTCAAATGGAAGTTTCAAAACCCAAGCTGCTGGATCCTTTAACAATTACAGTAGTACGATGAGCCTATAATCTCAAGGTAGCAGAATTAAAAGTTAGCATAGGCCTTGCTCTACAACCCTTAGTTGAGGTACTTAACATGAAGTACTCCAATAAACTATGAGGATCCTAATGGATGAGCTGCAGCAGTGTTTCCTAACCTGGTCCTTGGAGGCCCGCAGACGGTCCACACTGATGCCTCTCGGCTTCTGGTAGGGAGCAAAAATGTGGACCGTCTAACAGGGAGCTGGGGGAAGCAAAAACATGGACCAGTTTCGGAAATGCTGAGCTTAAGTAATCAGTCCATCCATTCATGATCTGAGTTAGTATAACACATTTAGGTATTAATCAGGACACCTGCCTGTAGGTCTGACATCAGAGATGTAATTGAGTTGTGTGTTTTTGCCACAGGCCGCTGTGTCGTTTGTGCGGGCGATCCAGCTTGGCGGGAAGGGCTATGCACCCCCCGACTCTCACCCGCTCAGGGGGCACCTCAAGGGCCTGTCAGACTTTGTCCGTTTTACAGATCACCTGCAGGAGCTCATGGGAGAGACCCCAGATCCCAGGTACTCCCTGCTGAACCCTGTGTTCTTGTGCTGGACTTGCACCTCCCCACCCCCCCATACCCCCCAGTTTACCCCTTGGCTGCCATTTTTCCTGGCTTTAGATAACTCGACATATTTAGTACTTGGATAACTAAAGACATGTTGGAACAATTGAAGTGCTATCTAAACTGCATCAAGGAACATGCTGTGCAGAAAGGTGGGCATTCTGTCCTCCATTCATTTGCTTTGTCTCTTGTTCAAAAGGTTTATACTCATCCCATAGTGGTCATGGAGAACCAGAAATAAGCAGAAAAGTGCAATTTTGTTTTATTTCCCCCCAAATTATGTCATAGTTATTGGATGTTCTATGCTGTTCTTTTAATTCTTACCCCCTCGTGCCCTTCTGGGCTCGCGTGAGCTCTGTGGATGTGAACCTTAGCCTTAGAAGTAGACTCTGATGCCAGGGAGGTTGTAATGCTATTGGCCTGCTGGTAAAACGGTGAGAGAATGCAGTGCGATGGCTGGACCTGCCACCACGTTCTCAGCCTAACGATAGGAAGTGCGGATGATGAAGGTGAAATGGGTGTGTAATCTGATCAGCTGTTATGAGACGCCGTGCTGCCAGGACGCCGCAGACACTCTGTGGGGGTGGGGGGGTTGGTGTGTGGTCAGGGGGCCTGGCACTGTTCTGCTGGAGTCTGATGCCTTTTCATCCAAAAAGATTCCCTCTGACTCGTGTCTGTCGAACAGACTGATAAGCTGCTACTGTAAGCACCTACTCCCAAAGCCAGAGGCATGCCGGAGAGAACATCCCATAATTCATAGTTCTAAACACTTTGTGATAGCTGCCCCCCCTTTTTTGCAGCTTTGATGATAAGCTGGACGTGCTGGATAACAAGACCTCATCCTGATGTTGGAAGGGCTATCTTGCGCTGTTTACGGAGGGCTTTCACGGTGATCTTGCAGAAACCACTGATTATGATTTCCGGATGGCCCATACGAATTTACGCCTGGATATCATCAGTTTTATTAAAGAGCAGCTGGTCCTTAAAAGTCTACACACACACACACACACCACCCCCCTCCACTTGTCAGCTACGTTTAAATGTTCTGACTATTTACTCCCAAACCCGTTTTTATTCCCAGCTTAGTGGAAGAAAAGCTGCTGACCAGTCTTTATACTGGGAAGGCAGTGGTTGTGGGTCCAGGGACTGGGGCAGCCAGCAGCTGGAAGGCAGGGTCAGGGGCATCCTGAGGAACTCGCGTCACGGCGGTTGGATCGCAGTAACAGATTTCTGGCGGCGTGGCTGCTCTTGGTCTCCTGTCTGTTTTCTAACACTGAGTGTTTTCATGTGACTCCTCTGCTCTGGGGCCTCAGTCGGCGGCTGCCTTCTCACTCTGATCTCTTCCCTCTCTCCCCTATGTCTTGTTTGGTCAGTGTTGCCGGGGAGAAGCTGGTATCTGTCATCAGGGCGGCGCTGGTGAAGGGCTTGAGCAGCGAGCATCCCGTGCTGGCGGGGGCTGAGGGGGTGGCATGTGACCTGAAGAGGAGGATGTGCCAGATCCTTGATGCTCAACGGGGGGCAGCCTGTGACTCGGGCATCAGCCCCGCCCGGGTAAAAAGCTACCTCCATAGTAGGTGGGATCTTCTCCATCTCTAGCTTTCCTGCACATCTTTTCCTTCTTGTGTATGCTTTCTACAGCCCAAAGTGCACGCCATCAACCACGCCACCGCCTACGGTGGCCGGGCTACAGTGAAAGTGCTGAAGGCTCTACTGGATGAGGAGGCATTGTCGCCACCCTGTAGGAACAAGGCAGAACTTCTATACAGAGACCAAGCGCCCATTGATGCCATTGGAGAAACCTGCATCCTCACTCTTTTTCGGTATGCCCCCGTGTGCCCACTCAAACCACCATGCCTGCCCTCAGGAAAGCTTGGCCCGTGGAAGTTTTGCTTACACAAAAATGTTCTGGGTGCAGAAGAAAAATGATTCTGAGAAGTAGCCAATAAGATTGTGGAGGAGGTGGGTCCAAGCAACTAGTGGAGGCAGGATCAAGACATCTGATTGACTGGTGCCATCTCCTCTAGTTGCTTAGACCCTCTTCCTCTACAATCTGATTTACCTCTCTGAACCAATCATTTATCTTCTGCCCTCAGAACATTTTTATGTAAGTAAAATTCCCATGAGCGAAAGCTTGGCGCAGGCTGATAATGGATTTATATTATAATATCTATATGCTAGATATTATATCAGTTCTATATATTTTCCATTTATACTGCTGGGTTTGTGACATTCCTCCTTGGATTTTTACACGCTTCTCATTGGATGACTCGGGAAAGCATGTGTGCCTGGGCAGATCAGAAGCCCACTGACCATGGCCCAGCAGAACCAGACAGGAACAGCTGCTCTTGCGACGGGCCTAGTTGATGTGATGTACTGGCGCTAATCTTGTTGGTCTCCCCAGATCCCCAGAAGCTCCGACTGGATGTTCTCCGCAGGCTCTCAGGCAGCGGGTGCAAAAGAGGGCCAAACCCAAGGTACCGTCGGAGCCCAAAGTCACACCCGCGATGCTCTGCCCCCTAGTGGTCGCACATACGGATCGGTGTGCCCGCCCACTACTTCCTGTCAGACGGGTTTGCAGTGCCGTGGTGGTGTGGCGGCGAACTCCATAAAATTTGACGCTTTGTGAAGTCGCGCCGCTCCTGCCGGCAGCCCAGCACCCCCAGTCTGGCCTGCCGCTGCGCGTGGCGTTTATTGCCAAGTTGTAAAAGAATTTAAAATGAGCCTCAATCTGAAATGGCCGCCATTCATCAACGAATTAAGGCTAAACCTAAAACTGCCACCACTGATTTACATGCAGCCCCTCTCCCTGTTCCCAAGCTGCCGCGATTAATTAAGAAATAAATTGTATTTTTCTTTTTTTTTTTTTTTATGTTACATGAGAAATAATTTTGCTGGGATGTTTCCAGAGTGAGAGCCGACTGGGATGGGCCCGCGTCTGGGCTGGGCCCGCGTCTGGGCTGGGGACCCGTGCCCGGTCGCAGTGACAGATGTTGACCGTGCCACCTGACCTCTGGTTGGCTGCCTGTGCGGGCGTGTTGGGCGTGCTCCGGTATGGCACTGCCAGTTCGCTCCTTCTGCGATTCGCCAGCCGACCAAGGCATTGCGGGGAGAGGTAGCTGGGGTGCCACCCTAACCCCAGAGCGGTGACGTCATCGTGGCTTTTGGGCCAGGAGGTGACATCGTCCCTCTCCACGACTAAAGAAGCATTTAGATGCCGTGCGTTGAGGCTTTAGAAATGCAGCCGTGCTCTGGTGCCCCGTAACCTGCCTTCCCACTTTCCTCTTTTCTTTCCTCCTCTTATCCGCCCATGTGCAGACAGCAGGATGCACCTGTCTCCACATCTCCCGTAGCCGCGGCGATCACTTTGATGTGGCTGCCAGGCAGTATGTGCGTGCGTTCGTGTGTGTGTGTGCGCGCGCACGCGTGCATGCCTGTGTGTGCACGAGTTCCACGGTTACGGAGTTAATGGACGTCACCTGCTGTTCTTGGAATCTGATTATTGCGACCTGATCTGCAGGTGGGGGAGGGCTCTGCACGCACACACACACACGCACACACACACACACAGACACACACACACGCACTCATAGGCGCCATTACCTTGCCTGACTCGGACCACCTGATCCACAGGGTTCACTCGAGGACACGGCCCCCCATCGCCGGCCCCCCCCCAGGCCGAGGCTGTACCCTCCCTCTGACTCTGGCGGTAATTGGATTAGGTGTGAACTGCACACCAGGAATGTATGGTGGTGCTGGTGTGGCGTCTTCCCTGAGTGTGGCGGACGGTGGCGAGGCGGCGGACGGCGGCAGCTCGTGTGTTTCTTTTTCTCTGGCAGCGAGCAGGACGGCCCGTCGGTCGCTGTTGTTTTAGCTGGTCCTTTGAGGAGAGCAGCCTGAACAATCTCCCTCCCGGCCTTTGATCCTCCCGCTCCACACCCAATCCCAGCTATGCGATTCCCTGCCCCCCCCATGATACCCCTGCTTCTGAGGGGCCCGGAGGGGAGGGTGGGGGGGGGGGAACCCGAGAACCCCCATAATTCTAAGCAGGCCCAGATCAAACGTAGGGATAAAAGAGTAGGGAGCCGTGTGCCTTTAGGGCTCTGGGATGGAGGGCACTCCCCCCAAAAAGTGTGTGGAGGGGGGCACCCTTGTTTGGACAGCCTGGGAAATGTTGGGATGGGGGGCGGGGGGGAATTCGATAACCTTCAGATATCAGAAGGGGTGTCAGCGGGGTTCTTCAAAAGGCTGCATCAGCAGGCCCTCGCTTCTGTCTCTGTGTGTAGGGCACAGTCAATGACGTTTTCTAAAAATTTATAAAATTGATTGCCTCTGAGTCTAGAACTGCCTTCCAGTAAGAATGATAATAATTAATTCCGGAGCGCGTTGTGGGGGGGGGGGCAGGTTTCTGAACGAGGCATCGCGCTGAGTCAGACTGAGCCAGGACGGCGTGTTCTCTGTCGGAAGGGGGTCTCTGAGCTGACGTTACAGCGCATTATTCTGTTTCTGGCTCACAGGTGAGTGGGCACGTCATCCGTTCCCAGTTTGCCTGCACCTATGGCGAGGAGGAGCGGCCTCTCAGCCGCGTGCTGCGATTTCCCACCCGCGGGGGCCTGGAGGGCGAGGGGGCGGCGCCTTTCGCCGCAGGTACGTCCGACCTTATCGGTGCTCCGTCTGATGAGGCGGCACCTATGCTAATCTCACACCCCCACACCCTCAATTATGTAATGTTTTACTTTCTATACTCCTATGGCCCTGCCGACTGGAAATCTTACCACAAAGATCTCCCC